GCGGCCCCTCCCCGTCCGTTCCCCGGTCGCCCGGGCCCAGCAGGTCCCGCTCCCGGAGCCGTTCCCGGCTGCCTGTCGAAGCCCGGCGCGCCTCCCTTGCCCCCTCGCTTGGCGCTGCGAGATTTTCCTTTGCAGGAACACAAAACTGTGAATTCCCGGTGACTCATCGTCACTCCCTGGCAGAGCGGCGTCTTCTGCTGTGCGAGCCCGCGTGTGGGAAATGATTCAGTCTGCGGGAGAAAGCAAGCTCCTGCAGCACTGTAGCCCGTGGATGCAGAAGGAAAGCCTGCTCGGGGTGTCTGCTTTTAAGGGGGGTGGCCAGAGAAACGGCTTTCCAGCTTGCCTGCTGCACCCAAAGCCATGAGAATAATAAAAAGTTTGATTTTAAGACTCGTGTATGGACAGATTTTTTTGAATAGCTGACTGTTTTGGAGAAAAGTGAGATTAAGAGGTGCAGATTAGGACACTGCTGCATCGGTAGGAGGCTGTTGATATAAAGGCAGAGGAGGCCTCTGAACAGAACAGCATCCACACGGTGACAGAGACTTGTACTGCACTCACCGTGCTGCTTTCTAGCTTGGCAAAGGCACTGTGGTACAAACGCTTTGTGTCTGCACAAGTGCAAAAAAGTCCTGGCTTGTGTCCACCTGGCTGCTAGGCAGCGGGGGAAGTCTGTGATTTGCCTGTGTTTCTTCTGTGGGGGACTCGGCCCGCTCCAGGGTGACTCCATAGTGAGAGACCAGGAGGAATGGAGAGGAAAGACTGGCAGCCAGCGATGCCCTGAACCGCAAATACCAGCTCCAAGTTCCCCTTGTGGTTCAGGGAGCTTAGATCCAGGGGTTTACTACAGGTCTCTCCACATCTCTAATAAAAATAAAATGCGAAGGATCCAAAAATGAGCCCGGACTATGCCAGGTGCACCCGAATGAGAACGGTGCTCTGAGAGCAAGCTGGCCTCCAACTCATTCCCACCCCGGTTCTGTCAAGGAGCACTTGCGCAAGCAAGAATATCTGCACTCCTGTCACTGAAAGGGAATGTGGATCTTGTGCGGAGGAGCTCAGATGTATCGCACGCTGGTTAAGGGGGCTGGAGTTTCAAGGGCAAATGAGGTATCTTTAAACATCACACTCATTTCTAAATGCAGAGCCCCCGTGTCCTCGGTTGCCCTCACGTTGCTGTTACTGGTGATGTGCAGACAGCTTAGGACTGATGCGCACTCAGCGGCCTTTGGGGTTTGCTTGTTTTTAATGGTTGCTCTGGATGGGATTGGAGCAGTTTGGAGGCGTTTGGCTTGAGTCACATATCCTTGGAGGAGCTGGAAAAACAGGTCTGCAGCTCCTGGCCAGTAAATAGACCGTGCATGGGTACGCAGGAGAGCAGGATCTCCTGGGCTATGCAATGCTGCCACCTCCTGCCTGCCGGGGGACATCTCTGTGTCCAGGGGACACTGCGGGTGCCTTGGGCCAGGGAACATCACACAGGACAGGGACCGGCTGAGCCAAGCCCGGTGAAACGCACCCAGGCACGCACCTTCCCCAAAACGCCTGCGGTCTAGTTGGGTGCTGTGCGAAAAGGATGACCAGCAACCGGCATTTGGTATTTTGTGTCTTGGTTATTTTTAACATGCATTCACTAATGGGTCCTGCAGGAGGGATGGGAGTGGGGGGATTCAAAGGAGGATCGGTCTACGCAGTGTGGGAAGGGCTGCAGGACAGGCTGGAGGATAGCAGAGAGATGGCAGAAGTCAGCCAGCATAAACCAGGCTAAAACCAGGACACAGAAGAGAAGAAAGACCTACCAGCACAGCGGCAGCTCCATCACACCTGGCCAGGAGCAGCGAGGATGCCTGTGAACACCCTCCTGCACAGGGACCAGGAGCGTGGGGAGAACCTCCTCCAGCTCTGGCTGCTCCGTGAAGGACGAGCCGGAGAGCCCCATGCAACAGCGTCCCACCGTGTGCCGCGCCGAGATGACCTCAACCTGTTTCCCGTTTCCTCACTCCTGTGGTTGCAGACCACATCAGTTTGTGGGCTGGGGACACCACGCTGGTGTCAGGATGAAGTCCACCTGTGCAAGAGCTTTTGCTGTTTTTTATTTTGGCCAACGGATCTGTTCTGTCTTCATGCCACAGCGCAGGAAAATTCCGCTCCTAGCCCCTTGCGGAACATCACATCCTATGGCACCGTGTTTGGGGTTTGCCTTGCTGAGCACCAAAGATGCTGACAGCCTGGAAGCAGCCCTGGCCTTGTGAAAATCCTGCCACGGCCTCTGCCCTGGGGTTTGTGTCCTGAGTCTTTAGGAGAGCACAGAAGCTGGTGAAGACAAACACGAACAATACCAAGGTCTGCACAAACAAAACCCACAGAGATACTGATTTGATTTAAAATTATATCAATTAAAAGCACTGAAAATGGAAGTAGGGAGGGGAATTTTAGGCTGTGGTTTCACAGCAGCTGGCCTGATCTAAGGACTTACTGCTGCTCATACAGGACGGTCCCACTTCTGCCTCCTTCTCCCCTCCTACTCCCTGTTCCCAATGCCCAGCTCTGGCGGCTCATCAGACCCTCTGTGGTCGGTTCGGCTTTCCAAGCCTACAGAAAATTGTCCGAATGCTTTCTTTTGGTGTTTTCTCTGGGTTAATGTTCTGCCGGACTAGTGACTTAAATGGCTCAAGGAGCTTCAGGGGCC